GTGTATCTGACAGACTCATTTGTGAAGTAGGTTGTACACAAGGTCAACAGTTCAATCTCACATTGGGTGAGAGCAGTCCATGTACTTGGTGGGTAGGGAGGGTGGGAGGAGGGGGTCTTTGTCACTAATCTCCATATTTAGAATCCCTCCATTTGATTCCTTCTCATACTTCCAATTATGCCCCAGTTCTCTATTAGCTTTCTCTGATTAACTGAATATTTAGTGTTTTCCTCTTGCCAGATGTCTAAGAGACTACCATTACTCACTTAGAGTTTGAAATATGCTGTCTTATGCTGTTTTGTATGTTTATATGTTGTATGCCAGACAAATTGTAAGCACCTTATGGGCAGTAAAAATGATGTCTTGCGATCATTTCATCTGTTCTCCACTTCTAAGATGACCCTTGAATATAGCAGTGTCTCAGTGAACATTCACTGATAAAGTACAATGATCAAGCCTCAAGTTAACATTCATTGATTAAGTATAATGCTAAGGAATATGCTTCATGTTGCTATTCTGCCCAGTGTGGAAATCATTAGCTTGCTTTTTATTTTCCTGTATAAATGTAGTTCTTTTACTTGAATTCCTTGGAAGTAAAGGCCTTTCCCTTGTCCCTAAACCTGATAGCTTGGGGGACAACTAGTGTAAAAGAATTTTGAAAGCATCTCAGCATTGCCACATGTAGCGCTTGGACAATCAACGTTTCTTAGTAATTAGAGTAAAGGGGAATAGACTGTCAGCTGCAATCTGAAGTTCCAGATGGTAGCAGAATCCCACAAAGCTTCCAGTTTTGTCACCACTATTCATTTGTTAGGTAATCTCTGTACCTTGGTTTATTTATCTGTGAAATGGGTCTAATGATGACTCTCTCATGGAGTTGTAGTGAAGTTCTGCTCTGATAAGAAATATGAACAGTCAAATATCATAAACACAATGCAAATGTCAAGAATGAGCTTTGCAACAACTTGTAATCATCAGGATGAGCTTGATGGGGGGCACATTTCTCTGCGTGTGGCTCTGCATGAGGTATAGACAGAGCTCTGGGCAACATAGCTGACTCACTGAGGAATTTGAGATTTGGCATGGCCTTAACTGTGACCTACAGAGAGAAAAAAACTGAGAAAATGGATTATAGCCCAGTGGCTATGTATGAGTTCAGCATCAATAATTAAGTCAAGTAAAATGGACTGTGAAATGCATGACAAATATTTGACCCTGGGTGTGCTTGGAACACTGGATTTCAGCAGATTCTGTTGCTTAAACACCTAGAACTGCCTTCCCCTGCACCTTCTACTCACCTACAGTTCTCTTCTTCTATGTAGTTCTGTTTCCTGCTTGATTGCCGTCAGTCTTCTAAAGCAATCCCGGCATCCATGCTAAGCCTGCTGTCCTCCAAAGGACACTCTGAAAGCCAGACACCCTGACTGCTCTGACATTGCTGCTGGCTTTGGCTGAAGCCCAGGGGAAGATAAGTAGTGGCTATACATTTGCCGAGCGGACCCTCATCAGCTCTGTCTTTGCATAAATGCCACTGCCTGCTAGGGGAAGAGATAAGGGAACTGACTGTGGAAGCAGAGCTACCTCTTCTTCACAGTTGGACCTTTTCTAGCCTTTTCTTTTTCTACAAGTTTTCCATGTAGCATCAGCAGCTGAGTAAGGGAAAGCTAAGAGGTTTAAATGTGCTTTTGCTCCATGGGTCAGATTAATAACCCAAAGCCTTTCACACTGGCAGTTCAGGGTGAGGCAGACCAGCCAGAAAGCACTGGGTTATGGGGGCAGTGGCTGGAAAGCCAGACCGTACCAGTGGTGACAGCTGACAACAAATGATGAAGTGGCACACCCGGTCTGCTGACTCCCAGCCCCCACCTGCCTTCCTTCTTCCTCTGTCCTCTCATTTTGAGATGGCTGCATTATGCTCCAGCCTCTGGCAGCTGCTGCCCTCTGCTGGGAAGAAAGCTTCACTTGGTGCGGATGCGTTGAGCTCTGTACATCCTAGGAAACTGGCCTTCGAGCACAAGCCATGTACCGCTGAAAGCACAGGAACTTGCTCAAGGTTAGACAGAAGGTTGTGTAGCAAAGTGGTTGTGACTGGTCATAGGTTTTTTGGGATATAGCTATTAGCTATTATAGAATCATTGCTTGGATCCTTCATATTCTCTAAGTAGAATGTCTCTGGGGCAGTGCTAGGGTAGGGGGTGGGGAAAGATTTGTTCTTCTTCCTTACCTGGTTTGGGTGTTGTACATTGAGACCCTCCATAGATGACCCTTAAACATTCCTGGTGGCTTTAAGTGAGTTAGTTATGAATAACCTTTTCATGAGACAAAGTGACAGAGGGAAATTGAGTCTTGAGGGGCAGTAGGATGGTCGGTGTGACACTCTTATGATTCAAAGGAACCTTCAGAGAGTGGGGGTTCTTAGTGGCTCAGAGAGAGCAGAAGAGGAGGAGCCAGACCTAGATGGAAGGATAGGAAGGGAGCAGGAATTGGGGTGTAGCTAGTGAACTGATCTTATTATTTCCCAGTTTCCCCAAGAATTGTCCATGCCAATGGACCATGGCCAGCTGGCTCTAGGAGACAGAGGACAGGAGGATCCCTATCTCCAGCATGACAGCAAGGTGACCCTGGGCATTGCTGGTTCTTCATTCTAGAATGCAGCACAGCCAGACAGGATCTATGACCTCACTGACCACACAGTAATTTTACTTGAGGGATTTATTTTCCTGCCATTGGCTCCTGCCAAGTCTGGGTTAGAGCAAATGGGGCTCTCCCGGCCAGCAAGAGTCTCCTGGTGATGTGTGTAAACAGTACCAGGCAGGAAATAGGTTTCCTGTTCTTAATGGGCTTGTGAAACCTCCTATCGAGTGGGGTTTTAATGGCTTTATTATGAATAATAATAATAGTAAGCAAGCATTGTTGCTATTAGTAGTAGGACAATGATGTTGACTGATCTTTCTTATTTTAGCCTTACTAGCTTGGAGGTCCTTTGGCTCAGGGATGAATGGAGAATGAGGATGGGACCAGTAGTTTGGGAAGGTGGCACAGGTTATCTTTGTGGCCTGCAGATTCTCCATTCTGAGCCTTTCTCTACTTACACAGTTTCCTTCTCCTGCATCCCTTTCACCATCTCTGTGCTCAAAGTCCCTCCTCCTGATCTCTTTCACTATTCTCCCCAAGTTCCTCCTCTCGCATTCCTTCCTTTGGGGGTTCCAAGTTTCCTCTCATCCCATTAGATGGAAGGACTAGCCTGTGCTTCTTTTCATTTAACTAAGTTTGAAAATGATGGGCAAGGTTCTATGGTTAAAGTTTGACATGGCATGGCATTTGTAGAGAGAGCCGAGGAGGCTTGAGAGCACTCACTGGTTCCCTATGTGATGATTTGGGACATGGAGAGGAGAGAGGTCATTAGATGACAAGAGCAGATAATTCAGGATTAAGATTAGCACCCTTATAAAAGAGGCCTAGCTTGTTCCTTCTCCATGTGAGATACCAGCAACAAGGCAGCATCTGTGAACATGAAGTCTGTCCCCAAGATGGCACTGAATCTGATGGCACGCAAAGGATGTGTTAAGGCTGAGGAACAGAAGGGGGTGTTCCTAGCTACACAAGTCATTTTCTGAGAGATGGCAAAACAAAGAGGAATTTACACTTTGACTGAATGATTACATTTATGATTTTTAAAAAGGTTCTCAGCAATGCAATTCCTTTTCTGGGTTTGTGCAGCTTAGTAGCATGAGCCTAATGGAGAAAACTTTCATTCTGTAACTGAACCCCAAAGCCTAGTTTTGTCAAGACTCAAAACCACTTGAGTCAGATTTGGCCCATGGGAGGAGGAATTTACTCTGATGATTAGGGGTGTGGTATTCACCATGTGGAGTCCATCAGGGAAGTACCACCAGCAAAGACACCATCATGCTCTTCTTATATCTTTGTCCTTATCCTTGGTCATCAGCCTGGTATTTCCCTATTATAAAAAAATTAAGAGAGGGCAGTGTTTAGGATGGTTTCCTATATCTCAAGCTTCCTTCAAACTCATTGTGTAGATGAGGATGACTTTGAACTTCTGATCTTACATCCATCTCCTAAATGGTGAGATTACAGGCATGCACCTCCACATCTGGTTGATGTGATATGGAGGATCAAACCCACCAGCATCATGCATGCTGGACAAGCACGCTCTAAAACACTAATCTTCAGCTCTAGTCTGGCATTGTGTTACCTGTGAATCTTCCCTGAGTGGGTCTCAAGCTCTCTTTCATCACACTATCTTAAATTAGTGATGGCAGTTAAATGGAAATGTGGTAAAATCAATCACAAATTATGTTCACACTAACTGACCTCTGAATGCAGCATGAGTTGAAGCATGAGTGATTCAAGGAATTCTGACACATCTGGGGTAGACCGACACATCTGGGGTAGACCGACACATCTGGGGGAGACTGACACATCTGGGGTAGACTGACACATCTGGGGAAGACCGACACATCTGGGATGGAAGACTGACACATCTGGGATGGAAGACTGACACATCTGGGATAGACTGACACATCTGGTAATGGTGAGGGTGGAAACAAGGGGGGAAGAAATATTTAGAAAGCAAATGACTGGAGGCTCGATTTCCTCTGTGAACTTAAGAGACAAACATGAATCTGTGGGTTTGTTGTAGCCTGCTTTGTCTTTGCAAGATGGGCACCCATTTTTTTTGTTGAAGTGGACCCCAAAGAGGTCAGGGGACCAATATAATGAGTCAGAAGAATTAGAATTGGATTGTGTATGACTACATCTTTGCTATAGTCTTCATTTTGTGACTGTTCAACTCAACAAACACTGACTATTTACCATAGAAGTCAGATATCTATGGGTATTTAGAAATACTATTTTATTTAATTTTGCCATGGGGAAATGGTGGCAGTGTAGTTGGGAAATTATCACGTGTTCTTATACACACAAGTGTAAGTACAAACCCCAGCCCTGACAAAGCCCGTGGACTAATTAGCCCTAAAATTCCCAGAGGGTGCACGTAGAACCTGTGTGTTCAAACTTCACTGGAACTGGGTGTCTGCTGTGGTTCCTGGTTGCTCTTTATTACCTACCCTTCTATACTCTTTGCACAGAGTTATCACCTCCTAAGACCTGTGACTTGAAGGGTTCACAGGGAAGTGTTTTTTTTATGCCGAATAAACCTACACTCTGTTGAGGCCATTCCTGCTCCCTGATGTGTGTACATTGAGGAGCGGCCACCTTCATCTCCACTCTTTGAAAAAGAAGGATCCGCGGCGCCCGCTATTTACATACCTCGCTTCCGCCTGCATTTTCAAGGCTCTTTGTTCAAGTGTCAGTACTGGTTTGTAAAACATGAACAGAGTTGGGGGAAAAAGTAATTACAGTTCCCATCTGGTGTTTCTGCTGACATGCTGTGGAGCTGCCTCACTGCACCCCTTCCCTAGGCCTTCTCTCATTCTGTCTTCTCAGTGGCAGATTCACTCTCCCCCGCCCTTTCTCTCGGCTCACCTTACCTCACTCCTCCTCTTCTTGCTAGCGCTATGTGTCGGAGAGGTGCATGTATGAATAGTAACGGACTTTCCCGTGGCTCCCATCTCCCCAGCCAGAGACCCTCCTCTCATTTAATGTGTCAAGATGCCAGGACCTTGAAATGTACAAGAAATCCCTGGTCTGTTCAATTCCCAGAGGACTCTCAGTGTAGCTCAAGGATACAAACTCCCCTTGGCGTAGACCAGTACAGGACTACAACATAGCTGAGTTAATTTACACAGATCTCTAGCCTAGGTGGTATCCTCACTTCGACCTTTACAGTTGATGGTTTACTATATTAGAGCACAATTATAAACAGACCCACATCTATGTCTTAGCTTTTCTCTTAGTAGGCAGCTTTTCCTGTAGTCATTAATCTCATCATTAGTGGTGTGGGTAGTCTAGAGTATAACTCTCTTATTTGTGGGTTTAAAGGTGATATTTTAAAATTATTATAGGGCTGTGAATGAAACTCAGTTGGTAAAGCATTTGCCTAGCATTCCCGATGTACCTGGTTTGATCCTGGCACTGCAAAAGGGAATAAAATAAGTCATGGGACCAACAGGGAAATGTTACTAAGGATCTGATTTTTTTCTCTTTGCTGCCTTATTAATCATCATTACCTCTGTATCATAAAAGAGTCAGCTTAAAATGAAGGAAAGATATTCTTTCAACATACAGGAAAGTTCTTGCCTATGGCTTCCACTTTGATGCTGGGAAGGAATTGAACTGAGAGCCATGTGCATGCTAAGCACATCCTCTACACACAACATTTAATTTTCTTCTTGATTTCTTTATTGACAGAAACATTATGATTTTTTTATGGTTGTGAGGATGATAATCAATGTGATCACCAATAAAATGGTTTTTTTTTGCTAAGTAATAATGATCATTTTAATAATTTATTGGATGTGATTGCCCACCTGCAGTCTTCATGGGAGAAAGCTAGGGAAGAAAGCTGGGTAGATGGATTTGAGTGGATATGGAAAGTGTGAAACTAAGGAAGAAATTTAAGACAACCTCATACCCAGAATTCTCTTTTCTCCCAACTGCATTTGATATTTCTGCCACCAGAGGCTGGGCTTTGCCTCTCTACTCCTTTTAAATTCCAGTAACAAACATTATGGTAGGTTGTGAATAGATGCTTATTGATTGTTATCTAGATGCATGTTGGAGAAAAGTTCCAGACAATATGGCAGGTGGGATTCCTGGTTTAGAAGTGGCTGCAGGATGGTAGTATAATAGACACGTGGCAGTGGGAAGGGTTGGCATTGATGGCTTTCAGGAGCAAATATGACACTGGATGGAGGTTGGCAAAGAGCACATGAGTGGAGAAGCTAAAGAAATATCAATGTGTGGATCCTTGATCAATTAAGATTCAAAATGATCATTGCATGATGCTCTGAGATAACATTTGAAGCTAGAGTACATCTTCATCTCTGAGGATCCCCCAAGCCCCACATTTGCAAGCTGATTTGTTCAGTAAGTATCTAACAAATGCCTAATCTCTGCTAGAATCCTGCTAAGTGATGGGTAGAATGCAGTATATAAAGTGAAATGCTTCTCATCACAGAGATTCTATTTCAGTGGTGAGTGGTGGAAAATTTATAAAATAAATAAATTCTTTAAGATTGTAAGTACTCGGAAGTGCAAGCTTGGGTGGGGACAGTGATTTCTCGGGTAGGTAGAAGGAAGACATGGGCAGGCAGGCAGGGTGAGTTCAGCCTAGGTTTACAGGGGTCTAAGCGGGTTGTTCTAGATGCCAGAAAGCTCACATTCTCCAAGTGCAATCTGACTTTGCATCCCAATTAACAGTGACAGGAGGCTGCTTTAAAACAGGAAATAAAGTAGAAGGAAAGCAAATGCTTGATAGTTGACCTGACATTCACTGCTGCAAGATTGGAAACGTACAATAAATGTCACTGATGGAGCAATATTCATGAAGCAAAAATGTCAGTTTTCAATTTGGCATGAAGATGGTTTGACATGTATTAGTCGCGCATAGAATATTATCATAATTAATGCATTAATAATGTAGCTGTCCTTTTCCTCCTGATCCCGAGTTAAAAAGGGGGAAATAGAGAGAGAGACAGGTGAAAGAGC